GTATAATTTTCACTCCTGCATTCTCTGTCTAACTAAATTTTAAGTTAAGGAGGTAGGGGGTTAAATACCTGTGTTGCTGCTCTGGGCACTTTTACGTTTCTCTGGGACTTTTCTAGCCCTGGGTACGGAACTGTGCATAGAACAAAGTCAACAAATCTCTGCTGACTTCATTCACTCGTTTCAACAAGCTTGATTAGTGAGCAGCTACTGGGGGCCAGCACTGTGAACGCTGCGGTGAATAGGACAAAAGCCTGTTCTCATGAAGCTTCTCTTCTACAGAGAGAGACAGACAAGTAAAGGGGTGGAGTGACAAGAGATGCTTGGAAAAGAAAGAGTAATGTAAGACTGAAGGTGGAGGGAGGTTCTTTAGACAAGGGATCGAAGAAGGCCTTTCAGAGAGGGCAAGATTTTAGCTGAGACTGACAAGGTAGCAGCACAACAGGATGGGGAAGTGGGGGGAGTCCCAGTCAGAGGTGGCAGCAAGTGCAAAGGCCCCGAGGCACACATAACCGTGGAGGATGGGCAAGACAGAGGGGCAGCAGGGGGCCAGTTAGGAGGTTACTGCCCTAGCCCAGGGTCAAAGTTGACAAATGGAGATGAACTTTTGCTGGATTTGATTGAAGGTGGGGAGGTGAAGGGGACAGAGGATTTTAGCTTCAGCAACTGAGAGGACAGGAGGGCCCTGTTACAGATTCTATATTTGTGTCCATACCAATTCCTATGTTAAAGCCCTAACCACCAACGTGATGGTATTAGAAGATGAGGCTTCGCGGAAGTAATTAGGGTTCGATGAAATCATGAAGGTGGGGCTCTGGTCTGATGGGATTAGCGCCCTTAGAAGAAGAGACACCAGAGAGCTTGCTCACACTTTGTCCACATGCATGCTCCAAGGAAAGACCATGTGAGGGCATGGTGACAAGGCGAACATCTGCTAGCCAGGAGGAGAGCCCTCACCAGAACCCAAATGCCCCTGGACTTTAATCTTGGACTTTCCCGCCTCCAGAATCAAGAAAATAAATTTCTGTTGTTTAAGCCACCCAGTCTATGGTATTTGTTATGGCAGCCAGAGCTGACTAACAAGTTGTTTTATAGAGATAGGGAAAACTCAACAAATAATGAATGATTATGTAGATCACCAGGTTGAAAAATCTCAGAGTTGGGACTGATATAGTAAAATGATGGGACCATATCAATGAAGGCTTAGAAGCATGCCTAAGGTGCAGAACCCCTTCATTCAGGGATGCCCCATGGACACCTGTCCCTGAGCCCTTGCCTATGGCTGATAGCGGTTCTCAAAGGCCCCCTCCCTGATTTCTGATCATAAAAATCATCCTTCCATTCCCCACCTTCATTCCAGCTGAAATGCAAAACCCTCTGTATTTTACTGCTGCTTTTGCTTGATTTGGGAATAACAACTTCTTTAAAGGCACACTTCAAAGTCAATGCTCCGTTTATCAACTAGCCTGACAAGCAGGTGTTATGAAACTTCCAATTTGCTTTCTTGGAAAAGTAGCTTGTCCTACCAATGCAGACCACAACAATTTCACCAAAGGTCAAGACGACAGGCACAAAAAGAAAGACAGTCATGGAAATGTTCAACACCCAGCAAAAACTTCAAAGATTCTAGATTCAAGAAAGGTTGTTTTTAGATAAGGTAGGGCTGAAAGTTGGAATGGTCGTAACAGAAGAAAAATTTTTTT